GCTTTCTTCCTCTTTGCAGTTGTCTCCTCCTTTGCACGCATTGCTTCCTGGCTTGCTTAATTTCGTCATTCCACCAATAAACGCCTCTCCTCTGGTTCTGATTTCTTCGTTGTAGTGTTCTATTACATGCCATGGTTAATGCCTTCATTAGGCTTTCTGGGTGTTTCTCTGTAATTTTTTGTGCTTCTCTTTGGAACTCCTTTTCTAGTCTCTGTAGTGATTCAGGCGTCGTCTTCCATCCTCCATCCAGGCTCCGCCTTGCACTCTCTTCGTTTTCCAAAGCCAAGTCATATGTTAGTAGGTTATGATCGCTAAGAACTTCAATATTTTCCTCAACCTTCCAGTTTTTTATTCTTGTAGCTAATTCACAGCTAATCAAAGTCAAGTCAATAATTGAGTCCCCTCTGGAACTTCTGTAGGTTGGGGTGCTTCCCTTGTTGGCAATTACTAGTTTGTTTTTCATTATCCATTCTTCTAGTATCCCTCCCCTCTGGTTACTTTTTTTGTCTCCGGCCATGTGAGTTCTAGCGTTAAAATCACCTCCTATCACTACCGGTTTTTTACTATCAATCAAGATTCTTTCTATTTCATCTAGCAGGCTCTCGAACTGTTCTTTCGATTTGTTTGGTGAAAAATATACGGACACCGTTTTGAAACTTTTCATTTCCGCTCCCACATACCCCTCTCCTCTGTACCATTTTATCGGTCTACCAACTCTTTTCTCGATATGTATAAAGCAGTCCCCGTTCGTGTCTATATAGAGATCCTTTGATTTTCTTTTGTTCGGCTCTTGTCCCAGTATTATTCCTGCGCTATTCTTTTTCATCTCAGAGTCTAGCATGTCGTGGCTGTCCCATCTTCTATTGCAATTCAGCTGCAGGTATCCGATTTTTTCAATCCTCTTAGGCATCGCGATTTATTGCTCTCAGATATCGATTCCTTATTGGCTCGTTCGGAGAACCTGATTCTGTTGAGCTTTGTCCCTCAATATTTCCTTCCCTCTTTTTTCTTTTCTTCCTTCTGGAAACCTTCTCAAAATTCTTCATTTCGCCCTGTTCCTTTCTCGTCTGTTTTCCCTGTTCTTTCTTTTCAGTTTTGGTACTCTCTGATTCTTCTGCGTTCGCTTCTCTTTGATCTTGTTTCCGAGATTCGTCCGAAACGTTCTCTTCTTCCTGGTCTTTATATTCTTCTACCATCGTGCTTTCCTGTATGTTCTCAGTTTCCTTTATTGTGTCTTTTACCTGTTTGTATTCTGCGATTTTTGGTCTGTCGTTCTTTCATTCTGCTCTCTTCATTTTCATTTTTTTGATCTTCTCTCTATAGATTGGGCACGTCCCCGTGCTCGCTCTGTGACCGCTGGTTTGGCAATAAGGACATTTCGGATCGTTCTTACATTCGCCTGTTAGGTGCCCAGGTTCCCCGCATTTATAGCACTAAGATCTTCTATCCTCCTTTGTGCACTCCTTGGCCAGGTGCGTCGGTGACCAACATCTCTTACATTTCTTTATTTCTGCCCTTTCTTCCATCAGGCACATTGTCAATCCTATCCTTATTTTTTTCTTTCTTATGAGCAGTTCTGCATCTTCTTTGTTTGCTACCACTGTGATTGCTCGCATGCATCCTGCATATGGTCTTAGTGCGCTCAGACTGAACCTTGATTCCATTCCTATTACACCTCTTATGGCCTCTTCGACCTCGCATACTTCTGTTGCCGGCGTCATTCCTTTGATGTTAATTGTCTTTCCTTTCTCTCCCCTTCTCTCTCCTCTCGATACTCTCTGTCCCTCCTTTTCTGACAGGATCCTCTGTAGTTCTTTGACACGCATTTCGTCATTTTTTGTTATTATCAAAACCCTACCGTCTCTCGTTTCTCTTATTTCTTCGATTACCTCCACCTCCCTTCTACCCTTCAACTGGCATTTTATCTCCTTTATCGTTTGGTCATAGGTCTTCTCATTTCGTTCCATTACAAGAGCATAAGTTGCTCTTTTGTTTTTCTTTTCATTTTCTTCGCTCTTGCTTAGTATTTCCTCCTCCTCTCGTTTCCTTGCAGTTGTGTAGATCTCTACGTTAAAAGTTTTGTTTCTGAATATAACATCTACCATTGTTCGAAGTTTGTGCAATGTCATATTTCTTATATGATGGATTGCTATCGTCTTTTCATCTTTTAGCTTCTCTCTTATCTTTTTTAGGTTCTCCCATAGTTCCTTCTCTGTCTCACCCACTCTAGCCTTCACGATTATCTCTTTATCTCTTTTTTCTGTGCCCCCTGTCTTTATTATTCGAGTCATTTCCACATATTCGCAGTCTCCTTCTACTTCTTCCAATATAGGATACACTCTCTTATATTGCGACTGAATACTTTTCTCCATCTTTGTATCATCCGGCTCGATCAGCACCACCTTTGCCTTTGTTTTTTCCTGCCATAATGGATTTCCTTCTACAATGCTAGTGTTTTCAAAGTATTGTTCTTCCCATTTCAACTTTGCTATTTCCGTCCATTCTTCGAATGTGACTGCATTTCTTATCCTTTCTCTCTCATCTCTTCTCTCGCTCTCCTTCATCTCCTCAGTCTCCGTCTGGGTAGCCTGAGTATTAACCTTTCTATCTTCTGGTCTATTTATCCATTCTCTTATCTCTTTTCGGCTTAAGATCTCCTCCACTCTTTTCATCTTTGCCGCCACTTCCTTTATTTCCCTCTTGGTATTTTGTTCTACGTTCTTCTTTAATATTCCTATTAGTTTGATCATCTCATCCATTGTTTCTTCGAGTATCTTCACCTGACCACACGTCTCTTCTTTTCTTCCCATGGGCTCTCTTTTTCTTTTCTTCATTTCCATATTAGGTCTTTCTATCAATGCCATTGAGCTGCTCCCCATTGACCAACTTCTCATCCTGATCGGTGTACTTTCTTCTAGACTGGGTTCCCAATCTGCTTCATTCGTTTTTACTTCAGCGGCTGTTTGTGCCCTCATTACAGTCCTATTCAGGCCTTCTTCCTCATCTGGAGTGAAAAACTCCTCTGGTGTTGGTGTGGGCGTCTTTGGTGGTGATCTACCCAGGAGGGTGCTGCGTTTAAAGGCTTGTAATCCCTCATTACCCCAGCTAGCAGGGTCCTGTATCTTTGAGTCTGAATAAGCACGTTGAGTCGACTCATCTCCACGCGTGGTCTGCGGCACTGCTTGGCCGGCAGACCCATCCGAGGCTTTTTGACTTTTATCCATCAATAACCATGATTGGAGCTGTCAAGGGCCTACCTTACCCTCCGTTTTATCCCTTCCGGCAGGCATACACTTACAAACACGTAACAGAAGTTAACATCACAAAGGGTACCGGAGCTGCACCGGTGTCAACCAAAATCTTCACCCGTAAACCCGGGTGGGTGCCCTTATGGGGTGCTACCATCCGGGCCAGATGGACCCCAGTTTTTTTAAGAGGTATGCTCCTCTAGCTAGGGTACCGCGGGCACGCTAAGCCCGTACCTGGGATCATCCCAGGCCCCTGCGGGACAACCCAACCCAACCCAGCTATTCTTTTTCATCTCAGAGTCTAGCATGTCGTGGCTGTCCCATCTTCTATTGCAATTCAGCTGCAGGTATCCGATTTTTTCAATCCTCTTAGGCATCGCGATTTATTGCTCTCAGATATCGATTCCTTATTGGCTCGTTCGGAGAACCTGATTCTGTTGAGCTTTGTCCCTCAATATTTCCTTCCCTCTTTTTTCTTTTCTTCCTTCTGGAAACCTTCTCAAAATTCTTCATTTCGCCCTGTTCCTTTCTCGTCTGTTTTCCCTGTTCTTTCTTTTCAGTTTTGGTACTCTCTGATTCTTCTGCGTTCGCTTCTCTTTGATCTTGTTTCCGAGATTCGTCCGAAACGTTCTCTTCTTCCTGGTCTTTATCTTCTTCTACCATCGTGCTTTCCTGTATGTTCTCAGTTTCCTTTATTGTGTCTTTTACCTGTTTGTGTTCTGCGATTTCTGGTCTGTCGTTCTTTCCTTCTGCTCTCTTCATTTTCATTTTTTTGATCTTCTCTCTATAGATTGGGCACGTCCCCGTGCTCGCTCTGTGCCCGCTGGTTTGGCAATCAGGACATTTCGGATCGTTCTTACATTCGCCTGTTAGGTGCCCAGGTTCCCCGCATTTATAGCACCAAGATCTTCTATCCTCCTTTGTGCACTCCTTGGCCAAGTGCGTCGGTGACCAACATCTCTTACATTTCTTTATTTCTGCCCTTTCTTCCATCAGGCACATTGTCAATCCTATCCTTATTTTTTTCTTTCTTATGAGCAGTTCTGCATCTTCTTTGTTTGCTACCACTGTGATTGCTCGCATGCATCCTGCATATGGTCTTAGTGCGCTCAGACTGAACCTTGATTCCATTCCTATTACGCCTCTTATGGCCTCTTCGACCTCGCATACTTCTGTTGCCGGCGTCATTCCTTTGATGTTAATTGTCTTTCCTTTCTCTCCCCTTCTCTCTCCTCTCGATACTCTCTGTCCCTCCTTTTCTGACAGGATCCTCTGTAGTTCTTTGACACGCATTTCGTCATTTTTTGTTATTATCAAAACCCTACCGTCTCTCGTTTCTCTTATTTCTTCGATCACCTCCACCTCCTTTCTACCCTTCAACTGGCATTTTATCTCCTTTATCGTTTGGTCATAGGTCTTCTCATTTCGTTCCATTACAAGAGCATAAGTTGCTCTTTTGTTTTTCTTTTCATTTTCTTCGCTCTTGCTTAGTATTTCNTTTCCTTCTGCCTTCCAAAATAACAATCTCTGACTTCTCCTCCGCCATTTCCAGTCCCAAATCTCTCATCTTTTCTGCAATTCTTTGTATGCAATACTCCGCCTTGTCTTTTATCGCTTCTGGTGTTTTCGCTTTTACTATCACTGCCAAATCATCAGCATATGCGATCATAGATACGCCTTCCTCCATTTTCAATCTCAGAACGCTATCATAGAAAACGTTCCATAGCGTCGCTCCTATGACTGAACCTTGAGGTACACCACATGTCATACTCTCTTCTCTTCCTCCTGGAAGTATTATCTTCCTTTCTGAGAGATATGATCTAACAATTCTTTTTATTCCCTTTGAGAATCTTCCCTCCTCCATCGCCTCCATTATCTTTCCCCACGGTGCTGAGTTAAATGCATTTCTTATATCTAGCATTACCATTATAGAGAGGCCTCTATGTGTTAAGGAAGTTTTCTGTTGTTCTCTTTTTTGATGTAGGACAGCCATCACAGCATCTACCGTACCCCTACCCTTCCTATATCCGTACTGCTCCTGACTCAATATTCCTCTTTCTTCTATCTCTACCGTCATCCTTCTGTTTATGAGCCTCTCCAATATTTTTCCGAGAACGCTCAATAGGCACAGCGGTCTGTATGATCGTTCCACTTTCTCTTTACTGGGCTTTTCGATAAGTACTAGTATAGCCTTTTTCCATATTACTGGGAACATTCCTCTTCTCCAGCAGTTGTTATATATTTTCAGAAATATATCACTATTCGCTTCTATACAGGTCTTTACTATTTCGTTGGTTAAGCCATCATCTCCAGGTGCCCTTCTTCTCTTAAGCTGACTTAACGCATCTTCAAGCTCTTGTGTTGTAAAAGGCTCAATCATATCATCCTCTCTCTCTTCCTCCGCTATCCTCTCCTGTTCCCCTCTCACTGGAAACAACTTCTTAAATTGGCTCTCTACGGTCTCCAAGTCTACTTTTTCTTTTGTTCTAATTTTCATTCTCTTTGTTACTATTTGGTACGCCGTACCCCAAACATCCTCCTCCAACTCCTCACACAAATCCTTCCATTTTTTTTCTTTATTTCTCTTTATTGTCATAGTGAAGTTCTTTTTTTCTTTCCTATACTGTTCCAACGCTGCCTCATATTCCTCCGTCGTGTGTATCTTCGCTCTTACTCTCTGCAACACTCTCCTTCTTCTTATACAGCGCGCTCTCGCCTCAGCCACCTTTTCGTCCCACCAGTAAACTCGTCTTGTCTCTCCTTTCCCTTGGCCTCTCCTCTTAAATGTTCTATCGCATATCTCTATTACTGTTTTCGTTAGCTTCTCTGCATCGTAGTTAGTTTGTTCCTTCGTTTTCTCCGAAAAAAGCCTCCCAAGTCTACTCATTCCTTCTTTAGTAGTTCTCCACCCTCTCATTCCCGTTTCAACCTGCTCGCAGGTTCTGTTCTCGTTCTCTGTTATTTCAAATGTAATTGGGTTATGATCACTTAATGTCTCTATTCTATCATCAACTCTCCATTCCTTTACTCTGTCCAAAATATTCTCACTTGCAAATGTCAGGTCAATTACTGATTTACCTCTCTTACATACGTACGTAGGTGTAGATCCCATATTCATTAATATGATATTCGTTTTGACTATCCATTCTTCTAGGAGGCGTCCTCTTACATTATTTTTAACATCGCCTGCCATCACCATCCTGGCATTGAAGTCTCCAGCAATTATCAACGGCTTCTTAGCCTCTCTTATAATCTCTTCAAGACTGTCCAATAGCTTTTCGAAGTTTTTGTCTATATCGTTCGGTGAGAAGTAGACTGATATTGTTATCCATTGCTTCATTTCCATCATTATCCATCCTTTATTTTTCCTCCAAGCCATCGGTCTTCCCAATCTACTTCCTAACTGTATAAAACAAACTTCTTGCTCATCCGTACGTAATTGTCTTGCTCTTTTAACATTGGGTTCTTGGCCTATTATTATATCCACCTCTTCCTGTCTGACCATTGCGTCGAGAATATCATGGACATCCCACCTTCTGTTGCAGTTTAACTGCATCATTTTGATACTTTGTCTTGACATTGGGCTGATTTTTCTTGGGGTCTCTTTTTCGTTTGTATTTGATCCCCTTTCGTGATTCTCTTTTTCTTCACCTTCATTCTCTGCTTCTGCCACTTCTCTCTGTTTCCATCCTCTATGTCAGGGGATGATTCTGTTCTGGTCTGTTCTCCGCTATCGCTTCCCGTTTTCTTTCTCTTCCTTTCTGCAGTGATTCCCTCATTGCCTCCCTCTACTTCTCTTTGTTCTTGGTTTCGTGTCTCAACCTGAGCAATTTCTTGCGCTTCTGCAGCTCCATCATCCGTTACACTACCTCTCTTGTTCTTCTTATCCTCCATCCCTCTTTCATTCCTTCCCTCTTCTCTCCCCATTTTTGCTTTTCGGAGTAACTCTCTATAAATTGGGCATCTCCCAGTCCCTGCTCTATGCCCCTCTTTATCGCAGTCGGAACATCCCTCTTTATTCTGACAATTTTTCGTCTGATGTCCCTCTTCTCCACAATTATAGCAGCATCCCTTCCTGTTTGGGTTGTTGCAATCTTTCGCTACGTGCAGAGGTGACCAACATAGGATACACCTCCTTATCTCCTCTCTTTTCTCTGTCCTGCAAACCGCCAATCCGACCCTTATTTTTCCCTCTTTCGTCAGCTTTTCTGCATTACTCCTGTTTACTTGTACGGTCACCGCTCTCATACTTTCTGCATACGGTCTTATTTCACTAATTATGGATTCATTTCCTGCTGCTTCTCCAATTTTTTCTTTTATTGCCTCCCGTATTTCTTCCATCGTTGTTGTAACTTCCATTCCCTTTATCGTAATATATGCTTTCCTCTCTCTTTCTGTAACTCCTCTTGAAGCTACTTTTTGTCCTTTTTCAGTTAGCATCTTTTCTATCTTGTTTGTATTAATCTTATCTCTTTGAGTTATAACTAAAACTTTACCATCTCTCGTTCTTTTAATTCCCTCAATCACCTCTGCTTCTTTACTTCCTTTAACCTGCTCCTTTATTTCGCCCACCTTCTCTTCGAAGGTTTTCCCTTGAGTCTCGACCACCAGGGCATATGTCTTTCTCTGTTCCCCTGCTCTGTTTTTATCTTTCTTATTGGCCTCTTCGTCTTCTTCCATTTTCGCTGGGGTTGTAAATATTTCTACTAATATCTCCAGGTCCTTAAATACTACTTCTACCATTTTTCTCATCTCGTCTACGGAATATTCCTTAAGGCAGTGTACCGCCATTATTTTTCTCGGCTCTATCCTATCCTTTATATTTATTAGAGCCTTCCATAATCCCCCCTTCCCCTCTTCTATCATCACCTTGATTACCTTCTCAACGCTTTTTCTGTGTTGTCCATTAAATCTTGTTTTCGTTGTCATTTCGATCTCACCATATGCATCTTTAATCTCGATTAGTTCGGGATACTTTTTCTTATACATATATTGGATCCCCTTTTCCATTTGCTCTTCGCCGCTTTCAACCATAACCACTTTTATTCTATCTTCAACAGGTTTTTGCCATATTGGATTTCCTATGACCACTCTTGTTTTTCTGAAATGTCTCCTCTCCCATTTTTTTCCTTCTATCTTCTTCCACTCTTCGTAGGTAGTAGTGGTTTTTAGTAATTCATCATCAAGTTCCGTTTCTTTTTCTTCTGGTTCTGTCTGTGTGCTTTGGGTAGTCACCTTTTTTTCCTTCCTTCTTCCCACCTCTTTATTCTCCCAGTTTTCCGCCTCCCTCTCTTGTCCTACTTCTTTTCGCCTCTCTTCTATGTTTTCCTCCAGCCACTTCTTCATATCTGGCGTTTCCAAGGCTGCCCCGATTCTCTCCAGCTTACCCACCGCTTCCTTTATCTCCCTCTTAGTATTGTTCTCTACATTACTCCTAAACACTTTTATCAGTTGAGTTAATCTATTTGTCATCTGTTTCATTTTTGCGCCCTGCTCCCTTCTATTCTTGTCCTCTTGCTTCATTCTTTCTTCTTCACTTATGTCGTTCTGGGCACTTCTCCCCTTGTCTCTTTCTTTCTCCATCATTCTTCTTCCCTCTTCCTTCGTTAGGCTACTAAATGACCACGTTCTCATTCTTGTGGGAGTTGTCTCTTCTAGATCACTTAGACTCCACTTGTATTGACTTTTCTCCACTTCTCTTGTTTCCATCTCCCTCTTCTCTTCATCTTCTTCAGCCATCGCTTCTATTATTGTCGTGTTCAATTCGCTTTCACTCTCTTCGCTCATTGACTCACTCGCACTTTCGTTTATTTTGGTAGCCGTTTTAGCTGGTGATCGGCCTGTTAGAGAACTACGCCTGAAGACGTAGTCCTCAATACTCTGGCTAGCAGAGTCCTGTAAATTGTGGTCTTCGTAATCTCGCGTAGTTGACCGGTCTCCGCGAGTGGTCTGCGGCACTGCTTGGCCGGCAGACCCATCCGAGGCTTCTTGATTCTTTTCCATCAATAACCATATTTCCAGCTGTCAGGCGCCTAGGTTACGCCCCATTTTATCCCTACTGGCAGGTACACATAACAGCACAATGAACATTGAGAACAAACACAAGCCGGTGCCTTGCCGGTCCTGGCATACATTTTCGCCTGTAAACCAGGCAGGTGCCCTTATGGGGTACTACCATCCGGGCCAGATGGACCCCAGTTTTTTAAGAGGTATGCTCCTCTAGCTAGGGCACCGCGGGCGCGCTAAGCCCGTACCTGGGATCATCCCAGGCCCCTGCGGGGAACCCAACCCAACCCAACCCAACCCAACCCAACCCAACCCAACCCAACCCAACCCAA